ATAGGAGGGATGGCTGGAAACATTAATTCAGTGGACAGGAAATCTGAAAACTTCAAATTAGCATGGCTATACAATAACAGCAGGAGAAAAGGACTTAACTGAAAACAAGAGAGACTGGAATTTCAGAAAGTATGTGCATTTTCAATGGCTCTATTTACAGTGGCACACTGTCATGTAGTTTGTTTTACTGATGTAAAATGTTACTGATTTCTTCAATGGGGAAGATGACTCTACTAATAGCTCCTTAATACAACATAAAAGGAACCAACTCAGATTAAAAGGCTACTAACTCAGATTTTTGCTTCCTTGTCTTTTCCTGTGAGACTCAGGTCAAAAGACAAATGTGTATGCTATGATATTATTTTAACACCAAAAAGCAAAATAAAACAAGCATGCTTCCAATTGAGAAAGTGTGTACAAGAACAAACCAGACTAAGGAATGCAGAAAGAAAGAAATGCAAGTTAAAAGAAAATAAATATGAAATTATGCTAAGCCGTAACATGAAGAAAATATTATCAACTTAAAAAAAACCCCAACCACTTCCACAAGAGATACAACAGTACATAAGGATACTATTTCTAATAATCTTAAAATTTTTGTCTTCTTAAAAAATAAAACTTAAAAATTAAGATTTAAATAAATCTTCACTGCTGTTACCTGAAAAAAACAACCACTAAATCTATATGAAACTACTACAATTACATACACTTAGGCAAGGTATCATTTAATTTAACATATTTTGAGAGTGTCTGGAGGATGGGGCCAGACTCTTCTCATTAGCATTCAACAACAGGATGAGAGGCAATGGGCATAAACTGCAGTATAGGAAGTTCCACCTGAACATAAGGAAGAACTTCTTGACTGTGAGGGTGACTGAGCACTGGATCAGGTTGCCCAGAGAGGTTGTGGAATATTCAAAATAGTCCTGGAAATATTCAAAAACTATCTGGACAAGATCCTGGTTCATGTGCTCTAGAAGTTCCTGCTTGAGCAGGGTGGCTGGACTAGATGACCTTCAGAGGTCCCTTCCAACCTCAACCATTCTGTGATTCTGTGACTATCTTCTTTAGTTACCGCAGTTGCTGCATAGCAGACCATATTTAAAATATTGCAATAAGTTAAAATATCATCTACAGTCATCACTTAATATAACTCTGAGGTTTCACTATATTCTGCCTTGCATTACTGTAGATCATTTAAGAATCAAATAGTCTGAAAACACTTTGCACACACAGCAAAGAATTTTAAAACAGCATCACAGCTTTTATTTAGCATTAGCTACATTACAGTAATATCAGTAACATCTAAAAGCTCACACCAGGATAAGGCTTTCGCTGTCAGAGTCAAAAAAGTTTTAGGCTCTTGCCTAAATATACACAGCAACATGTAAACAGCCATCAGATGCCCTGTTCCTCATTTTTCTATAAATTGCTCCCAAAAAAGCAATAGTATCCCTTTTGTCTCCGTGAATCAATTTGTCTAAGATGACCTCATCCCCAGCCCTGTCTCCAAATTCACAGAATTTACTAGCACATAAGAACAGAGAAGTTCTCAAAGTTGTCAAAAAAAATCCAACACCCCAAAACCAAAAAAACTCAGGGTTTTCTCTTATGATGCTGGACAGAAAATAATGAAGTTAGCACTTTTTTTTGTCCTGGTTGAAACGTAAAAGGCATCTAATAAGCATCTGCAGCTTGCAACCTAGCCAGCAGGCAGTTACTGTTTAGAGGGATGGCATTTAGTTTCATCATAATTAGATTGCCAACCATAAATAAAAATTAGTTACACATACACTGAAGAAGATATTCTCCTTTCTTATTCTAATAGAATAAAAACTACAGAACAAGATAATTCAAACTCTTACTTATCAATACATAAGATGTGAAAATATCTTCTGAACTTTCCTCTCCTATGAAGACAGGCTGAAAGAGTTGGGCCTGTTCAGCCTGGAGAACAGAAGGTTCAGGGGAGACCTTCTAGAGACCTTCTAGTACCTGAAGGGGACCTACAAGAAGGCTGCGGAAGGACTTTTTACAAGGGCAGGTAGTGACAGAAATGGTTATAAACTGGACAAGAGTAGATTTAGATTAGATATTAGGAAGAAATTCTTCACTGTGAGGGTGGTGAGACACTGGAACAGGTTGCCCAGAGAAGTTGTGAATGCCTCCTCCCTGGAAGTGTTCAAGGCCAGGTTGGATGAGGCTTTGAGGAACCTGGTCTAGTGGAAGGTGTCCCTGCTTATGGCAGGGGGTTGGAACTAGTTGATTTTTAAGGTCCCTTCCAACCCTGTCTTTGTTATTGACAAGGTAGCTCTAGAACTTCTTAAAAACTAAGTTTTTACAATGGGGTTTGTATGTTATTAAACTAACAGCACCAGAGACAACTTGTACAAGTTCTCTGCAGTTCTGTAACAGTAGGCCAAATACTCACAAAAATTTATTTCACAGTAGAACATTTCAGGATCATCGTAGCCAAGCAGTCAATATCTTGCTTCAGTTTCTATTCTGCTCTGTTGAGTCAATGAAAAAGACAAAAACTCTTCTGACCATAACGATTAGAAATACACTGAAAGTGAAGATGGTACTCAGAGCTCCATCAAAATTTTGTTGGATGATATTTAAAGAAGAAATGCCTTAACACAGGTATATGCTGCTGTGAAATAACGTTCTTTCAGAAACCTCTTGCAATAATGGAGGGGATTCTTGCTTACTGCAATCTCCGGAATGCTTCTCAAGCTAGGAAATCAAACATCCTCAGCAAGAACAACTAGAGGAGGGTAGCAGAATCTCTGCTAGCAGAGGCTTTTAAGAATGAATCACTGTCTAGGATGATGCAGGTATAACTGACTGTGTCTTGGGCCAAGCAATTAGAGGATTTCTCCAAGTCCATTCCAATTCCGTTTTCAGCGAGTCCAAGTTCCCGCAAACACTGACAATCCACAGGTGGTCACTTCTCCAAAGCAAACAGAACAAGCTCCATTCTGATCGGGTCGTTTGCATTTAATGCTGTCCAATAATTGGCAAGCAACAACCTCTTACACACCTAGTGCACTAGTCTTAGCTGTGATACACTTAAGACTGAACATAGCTTCTTGACTGCCCTGATGGTCTGTATTTCCAAAGCAAGAACTTCAGGCTATGACTGAAATTACATATTAAAAAAGTGCAACCAGTATTTCAACAAAAAAACCCCAATACTACTCTTCCTACAAATGCCATTCCAGGATATCCAAGGTGTCCTTGAATTCCTTAAGTTTGCAGGAATCTTTTAGTTAGTTCTTGAAATAGTTTGAAGACTGTTAAGACAGAAGATGTTTCTGGAGCAAGACGACAACTAGAGCAGAATTAAGACAGACAGGCATGCTTCCTCAGCTCTTTTTTCTTCACACATACACACACTGTCAATCTGACTGTCAACCCACTGAAGTAGCCTTTTCTAAAAGGGGCCACTCATAATAACTACCCTGTCAGCCTGAGTGAATAAGACAGCTTTTTACTATGAGCCTAAGAACAACCTGCTATGATTAAAAGTATCCCAGGTCAAGAGAAATTTGACTAACCTGTTCATGAAGAGAGGGCATGAAAGGTAGCAATGAGTGACAGACAATAGTTTAACAGCTGCAAATGGGGTATTTCAGAAGTAGTGCCTCAAGATAGTAGGAGGAGGTCATGCTACTACTAGTCTGAATTTGAAGAATGACACTTCTGAAACAACTAAAACTTACTTTGTATTCCAAATGCAATAGCTGTAATATTAAAGTTATCTCAGACTAACGGCAGTGGTAAGGAAAAAGGAAAACAATTCAGGGATGAGACTGGTTTTCATATACAGACATGTGTATAATTAAAAATCCAGCCAATGTTTCTATCAGCAAATCCTCACATAAATGCATAATTATAAGTAATTTAATTTTTGTCAACCCCACTCAGACCAATACCAACCACTTCAGAACAGCATATGCAGAATGTATCTATGATTATTAAAGTTTCCTTGCTTCTGCAACCAACTACTGTAATTTAACAGCAAGGGTTGAATTCTTAAGTCTACTAAATTTAAATATTAAAAAAATTACTTCAAAACCAGAGAAATACAATCTCAGGTGATTTAGTGGCTTAATGAATTTATGAAAGAATCTATATGACACTTAAATGTAAAAATCAAAACCCTTTGCTCTTTCCAGCGATGTAGCAGCTTGTACAAGTATAGCCTCACTGCTAGCTGTTAATGGCTGACAAAATTTAACATCATAACTAACTTGTAATTTCTACAGACCTTGATGATAGTCCAACTTCATTATTATCCAATCTACTCCATACTGCATCTGATGCTAATATTGACAAAAAAATGCATAAACACATCTAAGAAGAATAAAAGACACTATTTTGCACCTGTACATAGGCCTCTGTGTATGGAGGGAAACAAAACTTTATGTTGGTTACAGTCAGGAATCCTACAATATCCTACATATCTCCAATATTGTGTTGAAATCCACAATACAACAGTAAACATTTTCCATCTTAGAAATTACTCAGATTTGAATAGGACAGAAAAAGACTAGTAGAGCCAATGCCAACTCTAAAACATATAGTTAAATAGTGAAGCATCCTATTCAATAATGTACTCACATTACTGCTTTTTTCCAGAAATTCATGAAAATATAGTCTGAAAATTTAATGAAATTATCAAAATCATGCCTTAACTTAGATCACATTTTTCACAAAGTATGTTAAATTGTCACAAATCTCAAGCCATTTATTTTCCTTTTTTTTAAATAAGTGCATCTTCACTTCTAGTGAAGACACTACATCTAGTGCTGTAAGCTAGAACATGTGACATTCAATTTTGCACAATATTTGTGACAAAAAAAGTGAAAAAAATATGATATGCAACACAAAAGTGATATAACTTTATTTAGGAAGTTCTAATTACTCAGCTAGAAAACAAAACTATACTTAATAATGCTTCCAACATTCAGCTTAGAAAAAAGAGTCCATCTTACCCCCTGTTCCAAGAACTTTCAGCAGTTCGAAGTTTTCAATGCCAACTTTCTCTGCATAGCCTGTCAAATTTGCTGAAAGAAAAAAAAAAATCACGTCAGATATGTAGTACACTGAAACATCATTCTGACATATTACTACAGCTTCAGAAAAAACAAGTTAGCAGATGAATTAAATAAGCAGTACTAAAAGGACATTCCAGCTGCATACTGTATTCTTTTAACTTGAAAAGCAGGGGAGAGCAATTTTCTTGCTGCCATCAGTGTTCCTGGAGACATAAAAATCACTGACTAATAACTGAAGCCCATCTAGCTTGTATACACTGTCTTTTGTCCTATCACTGGGCACCTCTGAAAATAGTAGTTCCACTTTGTCTGTATTCTCTAATCACATAGTTATAGACAAAATCAGGTCATTCCTTAGCCCTAGCATCCTGAACACTCTCATGTTCTTGGATTATATGGTGCTTGGGAGGACATAAACAGAGCTCCAGTAACTATTCATGCATTTAACATAGGATTACTAAACCTATAAGGACTCTCCACTTATATCGAGTAGGAAAGACCTTCAATTTACGTAACCAAGTCATCTAGAAAAATCTAAGCTGCTATGAAGACACTTCATCTGTTGGGGAGTTCAGGAGGAAAGGGTTCTACCATTTATACAAATCTATACCACTGAGTTTTTTGCAGGTTTTTTGTCTAATAGAGTTTTTCTAAGCAGGGAAGTGAAGATTTCTATTTTAAAAAGGAATTGTGGTGAGCTGGATTGTTGTTGATTTGTTTTGGTTGTTGTTGGTTTTTTTCTTCTTTTATAAGCTGCTAAAATAAAGCCTTAAGCAGTTCCCATGTTTTCCATCTTTCATTCCTATCATAATATTATCCATCCATTTGCATCAATATGACTGCAGGCCATTCAGCAAAGCTGGTCATTGAAATGATCCAGGTTAAAAGCAGTAAGGCAAAAAATTAACTAAGTTTGATTAGCCTTAACCAAGTTCAGTTCCCTGATCCACTTTAATGAGCAGCTGCATATGCTGGCACAGCTACTAAAAGAAGCCAAACTGTATGTCTAAAAGCTAGTTTGTTTGTTTGGGGTTTTTTTAAAAAAAAGGCTTAGGAAAGATGTGCAAGGAGCTTTCAGTAGCAGCACCACAGATTTCAAGTAGAAAAATCTCAACCAAAAGATGAAAATTCTTTGATAGGAGATTAACTTACTTCATTCAACAGAAACTCTCATTTGGTTTGACATTTCTAAGAAACTTTATCAAGACAGTGTGCTTTCTGAATTCATTATCAAAATGATATCGCTTGGAATAAGTGCAGAGAAGCCACTTGAAATTATTGAGAGACTAGAAAGTCTAAAAGAGGTTTCAGGATTTTTTCTTGTACAAACAGAAGTACACATGGCAATGATTTTTGCAAATCTGAGGGAACCTACAAGCTATCCTAATATTACAAGTAAAAAAAAAAAAACCCCACCACACAGCACAGTGAAATTATTATTAGAGAAGTATGACTTTTGTGACCATTTAATAACGTGTACTAGGCAAGACAGTACCAGAATCAATGAGGCAATATGCACCACGAGTTGAACTGAAGTCTGCTGTACTATTTGTGCTGCTAACAGAACAAGCACTGTTGCTAGTGCTACATCACAGTCATTGCTGAAGTCAGCAGTACGGAAGATGCACTCGTGTGCCAAGAAAGGAGTAACAGCAGGTAAGGCAAATCTAGACTGAGTTGGTGTCTATGTAATTACAGTACGTCATGTCACAGTAAGAAAGCAGCCTGTCTTGAAGCAACTTCACATTACATATTACTCTTCTTAACAAGTGAATGAGGGAAAGGCTGTGGATGTTGTCTACCTGGACTTCAGTAAAGCCTTTGATACCGTTTCCCACAGCATTCTCCTGCAGAAACTGGCTGCTGATGGCGTGGACTGGTGTACTCTTCACCAGGGAAAAAACTGGCTGAATGGCCGGGCCCACAGAGTTGTGGTGCATGGAGTTAAACCCAGCTGGCAGCCGGTCACCAGTGGTGTTCCCCAGGGCTCAGCTCTCCAGTTCTGTTTAATGTCTTTATCAATGATCTGGATGAGGGGATCAAGTGCACCCTCAGTAAGCTTGAAATGGCACCAAGCTGGGCAGGAGTGTTGATCTGCTTGAGGGTAGGAAGGCTTTGCAAAGGGACCTGGACAGGTTGTAACAATGGGCTGAGGCCAATTCTATGAGGTTCAATGAGGCCAAGTGCCGGGTCCTGCACTTCGGTCACAGCAACCCCAATGCAATGCTACAGGCTTGGGGAGGAGTGGCTGGAAAGTTCAGGACTGTGTTCAGTTTTGGAACCCTCACTCCAAGAATGACATGTACGTGCTGGAGTGTGTCCAGAGAAGGGCATAGGATTTACAACAACCCCATGCAACGCTTTAGGCTTGGGGAAGAGTGGTTGGAAAGCTGCCTGGTGGAAAAGGACCTGGGGATGTTAGTAGACAGCCAGCTGAACATGAGCCAGCAGTGTGCCCAGGAGGCCAAGAAGGCCAAATGCATCCTGGCCTGTATCAGAAATAGTGTGGCCAGTAAGACTCTGGTGAGACCACACCTTGAATACTGTGCCCAGTTTTGGGCCCCTCACTACAAGAAAGACACTGAGGCACTGGAGCGTGTCCAAAGAAGAGCAATGAAACTGCTGAAGTCTTAGGAGGGGTGGCTGAGGGAACTGGGGCTGTTTAGTCTGCAGAAATGGAGGCTGAGGGGAGGCTCCCTACAACTAGGTGTAGGGAGGTTTTAGCGAGGTGGGTCTTGGTCTCTTCTCCCAAGTAGCAAGCGTTTGGACAAGAGGAAATGGCGTTGTTGCACCAGGGGAGGTTCAGACCGGATATTAGGAAAAATTTTTTCACCAAAAGTGTTGTCAAGCATTGGAACAGGCTGCCCAGGGAAGCAGTGGAGTCATCATCTCTGGAGCTATTTGAGAGATGTGTAGATGTGGTGCTGAAGGACACAGTTTAGAGGTGGACTTGGCAGTACTAGGTTAACAGTTGGCCTTGATGACCTTGAAGGTCTTTTCCAACCAAAACAATTCTATGACTCTAAGTACTGAGAATGGTACTCAACGTTTACAGTTTCAAAACAGTGTCTTTCCTGCCAGGGACAGCAGGAGTCAGGACTACCCGAAAGAGATCAGGGTTAGAGTGTCCGCAGTTTTAACAAAGCAGTGGATGTCACTGAAGAGATTCGGAACATAGAGCTTCTCTGGATACTAGCTAAGTAAGTTCTGAACTCAGAGTGGGAAGAAATTTTTCACTGAGAAATCCACTGATTTGGATCTTCTATTACGGAGTACTCCAGAAAGGTTTTACCATCTCACATCCTTTAAGAGCTGTCAGCAGAAGGCTTTTCAACTACACAGTCTTCTAGAAAGCAAAACAGACATTTAATCCTGTCATATTCTTGGAACTGAATAGGAAGTCAGAGTGGAACACAGAAATGCTGTATCTCCAGTAACACGCTGAAGATTTGTAGAGCTGGCTATAGTCCTAAAAAGAGATCAAGTCCTAAACTCAATCCATTAATCTAAACTGTACCATAAACTCAATTTAACTTGTATTCCATATTCAATAACGTTAGTAAAACCCTTCCCACTTTCATAAGGTTACACAGTAAAAAGCTGAGTGATACCTAATTTGAATTATTATGTACTTGTTTCAATGTAAGCCATAACTTTGCATTATCCACTTAATCCCATTTTTACTTCCATTTAGGATGTTTAATTGCCCTATCCTAAAAAAAAAAAAAAAAAAAAAATCCATGTCTTGAAGGTTATTGTAATATCATTTTCATAGTAAAAGGGGAAAACTACATCACAAATAAGAATATGATCAATATAAAATAAGTCCCACCTCATTCTTTTTGCATTATACTGAGGAAAAAAAAGAAGTCCCACAAGATCAGATAGCTAAAAGGTGCTGCATAACACGTAGAGGTACGATAGGACACTTGAGACATAGAAACTCTCTCTCTCAGAACTACTCCCTCTAAAGAAGCAGAATTCACCTTGATAAAAATAAAAATTAATCAAAGCTACAAGAAAAGATTAACAATTCCCAGAAAGTGCTTCTCTCAGTGTTGCTGTGGCTAGCAATGGCTTGCTCCAACAGCCTCAGTTGCTGCACTCAGTCCATCTTTGAAGTCATACCCCAAGAAAAGTAAACTTCAGAGCTTGTGTCTGTGCTACATTCTTTCTAATGACACTGCTAGAGCAGTTCTTTGTCTTGTTGAACAAGGTGCAGCACTTTTTTTGACACTCTAGCTTAGATGAGGTGCAATTTCTCCAGAATGAAAGTCAACATAACAACATTTCCTTCAACTTGCTTTCAGGAGCATAAATCCCCAAAGATCAGTTATTCCATTCACCAATCACTCCTAGAAACCCAAATGACCACCACTGGAGGACCTTTCACTAGGAATGCTTTCCACAATTACTAGACAACTATTCCAAGTTTGGGAAGCTTTAAAGGATTGCAACAAGGCAGTGACTACTACTATCACTAACAGAACAGTGAAAGGCTTCTCCAGCCTCCCAGACATCACCATGCTAGGACTGGTATCAGAACCTGACCCAAAAACTGCCTGTGCAACCTGCATGAAGACAGTGTATCTGTCAAGTGTGCAAGAGGATGTACACTCTTAACATCCAGCTAGCAGTATTGCTAGCAAATAGTATCATAACATTTCAGCGTCTGCAAAGATGCCATTCACAAACAGCAGCTTTTTAAAGTAAAGAAATTTACTTCTCCACGCCCTTTTTCTTCAAGTCGGGAAAGCTCTTAACCCAAGAAATTTACTTCTCCACGCCCTTTTTCTTCAAGTCTGTTGATGCATCAGCTGAAGAATACCAAGGAAGGGAGCTAAGCTTAGACAGGAAGACAGTACTGCCCAACTCAACAGGACAAGAGTTTTTCCACAAATGATCTGAAGCTACATGTGACAGAGCAGCATAAAGGATGGTGGGACACAATGAAAAAAAATAAAAAGCACTAAGCTAACAGTACCTTCTAGGAGACAAGCTAACTGCAT